CACCTGCGACACCGAGATGTCGAAGCCCAGCGCCCGCAGCTTCCTCACGAAACTCTCCCGCGTCGCCTGCGTCTCGTTGGTGCACAGCTGCAGCTTCAGCCCAGAGGCTTTGATCCTGTGGAGGGAAGGCAGCAGAGAGGGTAAGGAGATGAAAGAAATGAGACAAGAGTCATTCTCAAGGGAAATACTGGTTGGATGGTAGGGAAAAGTTTTTCACAGAAAGGGTGATAAAGTTCTAGAATGGCTGCCCAGGGAGGTGGTGGAGTCACCATCCCTGGATGTGTCTGGGAAGTTTTTGACTTTCCTGGTTTGCCCAGAGCCACAGAGAGATGATTTCTTTTGAGGGTTTTCTGCAGGTTGAGGAGTTCTTGCTAGACAATGGCCATATTCAGCCGCTGCACAATCCAGCCTGCTTGTACTAATGGACACGTTCACAAACAATGAATAATGGACATATTCAGAAATGGGGTCGGTATAGCCTTGAAAAAGATACAAGAAGAAGAGTTGTTAAGACTCAGCAAGTTGTTCAGCGAGCTTGGGAAAGTAAGAAAAAAGTGGAGTCATGGGTGGGCCAGACAACCACAGCAAGACACGTGAAAAATTAGGTGATTCAATCAGCATTCTAAATTAGACATGTGAAGAGTTAGGGTTAACCAATCATGTATTAGCTAGAGACACGTTGACAGCAGAGATTTATTACAAATGTAGTCTTTTTATGGATAATAAATTTGGTTTCACTGGATGATATTGGTTATGATGTGAAGTCCCTGAACCTCCACACCTTGCAATTTCTGCTCCCAGGAGAAGGGTGTCATCCCTGGGTGTGTTTAACAAAGCCTGGATGTGGCACTGAGTGCCAGGGCTTAATTGAGATGTTGGGGTTGGGTTGGACTCAATGATCTTGAAGGTCTCTTCCAACCTGATAATTCTGTGTATTCTGCTAAGAAGATGAAGATGTTATTCCAAACCAGGAGCAGGATCCTCTGCTGTGACCAGATGCACCCAAAATCCTGACTCTGGGCACTGCAGCTGCCAGTTAGTTCAGTGATGTTTTACCAGCAGTGGGGTGGATCCAGTCACATTTATCATTAAATCTCTCATAAAACACCTGTGCTGTTACTTAGTGGATAATCCCAAAAAACCTGGCACTTTAACTGATTCATTAATAAATGTTTACAGGTAATTGGCTTCTCAGGGGAAGGAAACACAGCCATGAGTGTCCAGAGCCAAGGACATGGCTTCTGTGGATTGGTACTCTGCAAAAGTTGTGTTGTTACCCCATTCCTGCAGTGTCCATGGCCAGGCTGGGCAGGGCTTGGAGCAGCCTGGGACAGTGGAAGGTGTCCCTGCCATGGCAGGGGTGGGATGGGGTCTGTAAGGTCCCTCCAGCCCAAACCATTCTGTGAATCCCCTGCAAGCCCTCTGCCCCTGAGCAGCTTTGTTTCCCAAGCTGGGAACCTGCTGTGCATGCCCCCAAAAAGCCTCTTCCCCAAGGATGAGCTGTCAGCTGTTTGGAAGCCAATCTACTTCAAAGTGGCCACAGAAAATCAGAAGCACTTAAAATGTACCACAGTTAATAAGAAATAAACATTTGCCTAAGGGACTTTCACTCAGCTCCTCTAATACATGAAAATGCCTACTTTTTGTCAGTTTTCATGTGAATTTGTGCAAAATTGTCTTTGAGTACCTGAGCACATGCAGATTCAGATACTTAGATAAGTCTGGAACCAGGTTTACAAATTCTGATAAATATTATGACTCTTCTTTGTATTAAAACAAAACAGGACTTTTCTATTAAGGAAGTCCCTGCACTGATTCTCAAGACAACAAAACAAACTGGGTCCATTTGGTAGGGAAGGAGATCTCAATTGGCTGGTGCAAACACCAAAGCCACCTCGAGACAACAGATCTGATGATGAACTTTCCATCAAAGGATTCTTGGAAATCTGGTCCTGACCCAGGGAGCCCCTTCTGCTCATCAAAACTACACACCAATGTCTTCTTTAATAATGCTGGTGATTCATTTCTTTCTTATTATTTGTCTTTCCTAATCATAGATATGTGAATTATCAATTACACTTAGTGGTTAATTGCCCTTCATAAAGATAGCTTTTCTCTTTTAAATTAGGCAGTTAATATATTGTAACTAATAGCATCCACTTGTACATTATAAATATATCTTCATTGATTGGAGCACTGAATGTGAGATTCACTCTCAAGTTAATGAAGCAATTGAGTGAAGAAGTGCAGGGTGTACCCAGGGAATAATTATTGTTAATGAATTATGATGTGACCTTCTCAGAACAATGAACAATTGGTGTGACAGTGGGATGACAATATTCCACATCTGTTATTTGAGACACGGTTTCAGCTGGAGTTAAAAAGCAAAGCAGTGTAGTTTGGACACACAACAAACTTTAATAGAGTGTGCCATGAGTAAAAAAAAAATTATTCTAAAAGAAATTATTCTAAATGCAAAGCCTCCCTGCACACTCTTAGGGAAAAAAAATCCCATGATTCACAACTGCCTGGAAGCAGACATTTGTTGAATTAGAGTCTGCTTTTTCTCTTCCTAAAGGTCAATGTAATGAGTCCAGGGACAACACCAACCACAGAGCTGCACAGACTAAGCAGCACCCTCACAGGACAGCTCAGTGAAAGCACAGATTCAGCTTTCCTCTACTACAAACTTCACTTCTTTCTCAGCATTTTGGATGGAAATCAGAGTGATACATCTGAAAGGACTGAGAAAAGCAGAAGTCTGGACACATCCCATACTGCTTCATGCCTTTGTGGCCACCAGCAATTACCACCCCAACAACTGGGCTCAGGAAATGCTCAGGATCAGCTCTACAAACAGTCAGGCCAAGCTGGACAAAAAAAAATAGGAGTCCTCTGGAGACACATGAAAAGGACTGTTAAAAATATCCTGGAACGTTAAATGAAACAAAAACCCACAAAACTCTAGAGAAGACTTATTTCTACAAAAATATCTTTCCAATGAAAAGTCACCTTTTCCTTCCCAATTAGCATGAAAAGAGCCCTGCAAACTCAGCCAAATCCTGCACAGAACAGTCACACTCACCTGCACACTCAGTATCACACACTCTGGGATGATCCATCCCTGGATGCTCAGCACAGGGATGGCGAGCAGAGCCTGCAGGCCAGCAAACAACTCTTAACCCATAGCTTCAATAATTAGGGAGAGCTTTTACCAGCAGCTCTGCATGGGGGAAAACCTGTCTCAAATCATGTTCACAGCAAAACTCTCATTCAGTTTCTCTGGCCTGGCAGGTTTTGAATGTGGAGAGGCTAAAAGAAGTGGCTTGGTTTGTGTCTCACAGGTGTGATGCTGCGTTCAGTGAGTCCATAGGGCTGCACAGCTTCAAGGGAAACCTCCAGCCTCTGAACTGACCCACTGCTTACACTCCCAGCAAAGCAAGGCACTGCAATTTCCACTGCAGGCAAGTGTGGGGATGTCAGGAGAAGAATAAAGAACAAGATTTGTAATGTGATGTCTTATGAGATAAAGAGCAAGGGATTAGGTACCTGCAAGAGCAGAAGAATGAGGCAGCAGGAGATGAAATACACGACACACGTTTTATCTAGATCTCAGAGTATTACAGATTTATCAGCAGGTCCATTACAGAAGCACAGGCACACCCAGGAAACCCAGTCAATCAGGCCTTCAGCTGACTTGCACACCTCGTGGCTGTGATAAAGATCCCACTCAAACAGCAGGGAAATCAATGCTGGTTAGGGCAGTGGACAGGCAGCACTGCTGCCCCTGCTGCAGGGACCCAGCATGGCCCAGGTACCTGTGGGCATCCCCAGGCTGCCTCTCCTTCACTGTTTGGGGCCATCAGCACATCAGACAAATCCACTTTTTCCACCACATCCACCAGTTTCCAACATCACTGCTCACACCACTCCTAATGCCCAAGAGCAGAAACGGGGGAGCTTCACCTGAGTGAGGCAGAGCAGCTCCTGACCCTCCAGGCTGTGACAAATGCCAAACTCAGCTAAAGTGGCAAAAAAAAAATGGTCAGAGCCCTTCTTGGAGGGGATGGCAGAGCAGAGATGGCAGCAGGGAGCAGATGGAGAGGCCACTGTCCCCTCCAGCTGTGTGTCACTGCTGCCAGTGCCTGCTCTGCCAGGGAGCTGCCACAGCACACACACACTGAAGGAAAAAGTCACAAAAAAAAAACTTCCAAGCCCCAAATTAAAAGTGGACACTGGGCTAGAACATCAGCCCTTCCAAGCCCCAAATTAAAAGTAAGCACTGAGCTACCACAGCAGCCTTACCAGAGGAGGGATTTAAGCCCACTCCAGATCCAAACAACCACTTGGCCACCCAAAACACCCCCAAATCTACACGTGGGGCACCCACCCAGCCCTGAGCACCTGCCCAGGGGAGAAGAGGATGTGAGGGGTTTAACTGCAGCCCTGAGCAGCTCTGTGAACTGACCTTTACCTCGTTCAGCTGGAGCAGGACACGGGGCTGAGTGACAATGTCCCCCAGTGCAATTACCGTGCGTCAGATGAGCCGGTCCCTTACAAATCACCTCGAACTTTACACATCTGCTGGCTGTCAGCATCTGCCAGGCTCACTCACCCGAAAATAATGAAAAAAACTCTCATTATTGCTCCATAACAGGTAAAGTGTTAGGACAATTATTGGACATCCTCACTGACCTTGTGCAGACTTAGCCAGGCGCCCTTGCCAACCTTTATGGGCAGCCTTTGGGCACATAAAACACAAAATCTGTTCTTTCAGGTGATGTAAAGGTTGTGACACCCATTGTAGGAAAAGCAAGGGTCCTGGAATCCAGACTGGGAATCATCAAACTTAAATTCACATTATCCTGCACATGGCTGGAGCAACTAAAAAAAGTGTATAAGGCTAAACTTCAGATTTCCCATTATTTTCCCCACTGTCTTTTGCAATTAAGATTTTTCTTAAGATGGGAATAGGAAAGGGCAGCCCACAGCCAGGGGTCCTGTGCAGATGGGCAGTGGGGCAGAAAGCAAAACCCTGGAACAGGCAACAAACCCGAGCTTGGAGTCTGTCTAACATCAACTTCAAAGGGGTTTGGAAATGTGCTACAAGAGACTTGCAGAATTGGCTTTTTATCCTGCTTTTGGGGATAAGATTTTGCAGAATGCTTTGGGGTTTTTTTTAATTTAAAACAAAGCATGTTGAGCACTTTTGCTATTTGACTCTTTTGCATCAGTGGACAAATATGAGTGTGCTTCAGTGTAAACCTTCCAGCACTCTGATACCTTGTTTGAAACACAGGGAATCAACAGCACCTGCAACCAAACCACAAAGTAAAAGCAGCACTTGGGCAGCAATACCATCCTCCCACCTGGGCAGGGTTAATGTTAGTGCTCTCTGCAAGGGCCAGGGTGCTGGTGGCTCCAGGTAAAACCTCTCCTGATCTTGCAGGTTTTTCCCAGGAGAACCCCCCTGGGAGCACCACACACACCTGAGGATCCAAAGGGGTTTTCTGGCTCAGCACTGGCTCAGAGCAATAATTCCTTCTGGGGTCCAGCTGTGGAAATGCCTGGTGTGAGCAGAGCACATTTGCTCTGCTTAAAAAGCGTCTTTCTTTTGGCAAAAATGTGCTGTATTTTCTCTGCAAATCTGTATTCCTGCCACTCCAGCAAACTCATTATTTCAGAAGCCTGAAGGAGGCCATAAGTGCCCATCCTTACATGGTACAAGCCTCTCCCAATTCCATGGAAACATTGAATTTCCTGGTGTTTTTTAACCTGGTGGGTGCAATGCAATCAGAGGACTGTGGATTAAACTCCAGCATTTCCCTTCTCTCTCCCAGTGCCCAAAACTTTCCATTCCTCTGATTTCTGCCATCACAGCACATCCAAACTGCTTCAGTCTTGCTGTCACATCTCTGATGCCACTTTTGCCCCCTGTGTTTCCCCTCACTGATGTCCTGTCATGGCTCCTGAGTACAGCCAGGCTCATTACAGCCCTGGTTCTCTGGGGATCCAACTTTCTGCTCCTGACAAATCCTCACACGTGGCACTTTTTGGCCCCAGTCCCTCCTGCATTCCTGAAACTCATCTCTGCATCTGCCATCTCCCCAGCACAATTTCCTCTCCAGCCCCATAAGGCTCACCTCCCTCTAAATATAGAAGGGGATAATTTGGAGGCAATCCAAAGGAGGGATTGCAAAAGGGATTAAAAAATAAGAGAGCATTACCTTTGCACATGAATAAAAGCAGATTAATAGACACACATGAAGGATCCACCAGAAGAGGCCAATGTTACTTAAGGGTGGGCAAGGGTGACAAAAGAAAAGGTACATTTATAAGATTAAAAACTCTGGAAACACCACTTTGAGACAGCGTTTGACAGTAAAAACTGAAAAACAAAATCACTAAATTGTAGATCAAAGCAAACTTTAAACACCCACTAATGCCTTTATTTAGGTGTTTGGATAACTCAGAATTTTGCAGAGGTGGAAAGAAATCCTGGAAATTTTAACTGGAAATCCTGGAAGTTTTAACTGGAAATCCTGGAAGTTTTAATACTGAAACAAACCTAAAGTCCATCTTGTCCTGAATTCTCTACAAAGCCCATTGAATACAGCTGGATACCAGAAATACTGCACAAATTATCCAACACCATAAATTATAATTCACCACCCTGAACAGCAGGGAAGACAATAGATTTGTAGGCAGCAATATGCCACAACAGTAAAATCTAGAATTCAGTTTTTAATAAAAATAACACATACTTCTGAAAGGAACTTGCAGAAAGAAAGCACAAAACAGAATACAAGAAAAATCTCTCTGGTCCATTAAGTTCAGTAACAAGATGCATTTAAGGCTGCAGATTACAAAATCAGCTTAATGTATTACACCTAAAAGTCTTTAACCACACTGCAAATGGTTCAATAAGCAAACTCTGGCAGAACTTAAATAGCTAGTTAATCTCCACTTTGGGAACTGCCAAGAAAAAAATCAGATTTTTGGGGATTCAGTTAGCATGAACATGGGATAGATTTATTTGCATTGAGCAAAATATTTTTAAGGACAACACAGTGAATGATACCCCAATAGCTTTTATTCTGTATAAAAAGCGTGGTGCATGATCTTTAAGGTTGCTTCCAACCCAAACTATTCTATGATTCTATGAAGCTGCTAATTAAAAACTGCTATTCTATGATTCTGTGAAGCTGCTCCATTAAAAACTCATTCAAAAATAAGTCATCTTTGACAGGGTTGAATTCTCACTTTGTACACAAACAGCACCTGGTTGTAAAGAAGGAATTCTATTTCTGAGACCCTGAAGGTTAAGGATGTGTGAACTCCAAAAAATGCAAGCACTTACTCATGCAATTTGTGCACATGAGTAAGTGCAGGTGAGCACCCACAACTTTGGGGACACAGATCTTTATAAAGAAATAATGAATACTGCTGATTAGGAAAGCAAATATGGGTTAGGAACAGCCACTGCTCTCAGAAAACTGAGACCACAGCTGATGTTACAGACTGGAGTGCAGCTGAGAGTCAATTCCTGGATCTCCTTCTGGCTCTGTCAGGAAAAGCCACATGACAATACAGAATGCTTCATTTTTGTGTGTCTGCAGCTTCAGGAGGGCAGTGACACCTGGGGCACACTGGGTTCCTTTGGGTAGAAAATGCAAAAAGAGTCAAGTACAAAATTTAACAGGTATTTACATAAGGGTCTGTATACTTTATTTGAAGGCCTCTTTCCAGGAGAAACAGCTCCTTTTCTATCAAATGCCCCGAAGGCACAGCAAGGCTTGGAACTCTGAACATCTGCACAGCCCGTGCTCAGCCACATTATCTGCTGTGACAACAAAGATTTCCTACTCCTCATGGCACACACACTTCCAAAAGGCTCTTTGTGAGCTCCCAACTCCTCTGAACCCCCACACCCTGAATTGTTTTACAGTCCCAGTTCCATTTGTTCTCCTCACAATCTCCCTCTTGTTAGACTCTCCAGGTATTTTATTTTAGCAGGAGTGTCCAGCTGCTCCCCAGCCTCCCTGCTCCCCAGATTTCCGCTGTCCCTTTTCAAGGGCTCTGTGGAAAGCTGTGCTAACAGATGCACCACCCCAGCCCAACAACAGGATGTTGTAAACCTCCAGCTCCTGTGTGCTTTTCATATGGATATGCTAATGGACACACTATCAGCACGCAGCCGTAAATGCAAATGCCAGAGCACAGGCTGAGCATCTTTTATGGGTGTTTAACCACCTTCTGTCTTGTAAGGCAGCAGCTCCCTGCGATTTGCGAGATAAAAAGCAGCTAGCTCACCTCGTGTCAATGCTGTGTAAATCGATTAGGACAATGAGAGCACGGCACTGAGGCTCTGTTAGGGCTGGCTCCAGGAGAAGCCTTTAAGTCACCGATCCCTTCTGATCTTACCCATGGGCTTTCTGATCTGCTCCAAAGCATCTGCCAGGGAGCTGCACACCCCGGGAAGAGAGGCGTGGGGTTTATGTAACTTTTTCAAAACTACAACAGAGACCCGCCACAGTAAGTTAAACAATCAAGAAACATTGTGTCTTAAAAGTTTGAAAGGGATAAATTACCTCATCGAGCCACTTTTGGCTTTTTTAGCCATCTGCTGCTGTAATATCCCCACCTAAAGATAACAGCAGCAGTCCCTGGAGAATTTAGAGCTACTCCTGGCTCCAGGAGTGCCAATACCCTTTGGCACACAGGTGGATGAGTAACAAGGATGCAGATTCACCTTATCCCTTGAGCACAGGACACCAGCTCTGCTCAACAAACGCTCCTGTGGTTCACTTCCTCAGCCTCCAACTCATCAATCCCCTCTCAGAGCACACCGAACCCTTCAGTATTTCACAGGTGAGATGTATCAGGGCTGCAGGTGCACCAGCAATAAACAAAGCAATCCCAGCTGTTAACACTTAGTGTTTCACCACAGGTTGTACCAATTATTGATGCCTTGCTCAGGAGGGTCTCTACAGCAGTGAATGTCACCTTGCTCAGGGTGTTCCAGTGCCCATCAGCTTCTCTGGCCATGTTTCTGCTCCATCTGACTCTACTGTTGGCTAAAAACAAACAGACAAGAGGGAAGCAGCCATCACAAATAGAAACCAGGCCAAATTCTGCTAGCAGAAATCAGGCTGCTGCTCTCACAAACACTAACTCACATAACTGCACAGCAGAATTCAGCTGAAAACAAGGGGAATAATGCAGAAAGTGTAGTTTTAGGAGGTCAGGACAGCTTCAGTCACATGAAACCAACGGCAAATTAGTATGTTTACTTATCATTTTTACTGGAGTGTATGCTATGTGTTGTTACACTAAGTTAATTGCTGTAATGGGGAGGTGATGTAGCAAGACAGTCTGAAAAGAACAGGTCAGCTGTCCTGCTGTAAGAGTCCTTATCTGTACTCTATCAAAATGGGATTTAAGGTTTCTGTTGGACATATATATATGTACTAAAAGATGTTAGCTCCTTCAGCAGAGGACCACAGCAATTTGAATTAGTTATAAGGTTCCTTACTATCTGCAATTATGGCTCTTTAATTGATTTAAGAAAAAAGGAATTAATTAAAAAGAGCTCCTTTTAGCTTTGATCCATCTGCTTGAAACCACCCAGCTGTACTGTGACGCAGACACAAATATTAATGAGCAACTGGCAATGGGATAATAGTCAATAAAGAGTTTAAATGGTGTGAGCCAGAACAATTACTAACCTAATAGGCAGATAAATAAGGCTACTTGACTTTACCCAAGGAAAATTATTATTCTTCACCACTTACATTGAATGACCTCAACAAAGTGGTTTGGTGGGGTTTTTTCCTTTCTTGGCACTTTTCCATTTTGCTATTCCCACAGCTATGAACACTGCTCACCAAATCCTGCCCAAAGGAGATCAGCTTTCCCTGAACAGCATTCCAGAGCCTTTTGCTGGGTTGCATCTCCAAACCCTCCTCAAAGACCCTGCAGCCCTTCCAGAGAGGTCAGATTAGCTGCTGAGGGCTCCCTGTGACTAACAGGCAAAAAGGGCTTGGACATTCCCAGGATTTCCAGAGAAAATTTTCCTACATTTAGCCCAAGGCCAGGGTTTTACTGCTGCTTCATCAGCATATTTCTGACATTACTGTAAGTTAGACGCAGTTTAAGTTGTCTCCATGCAGGAGGTTTCAGCAAATGCAGTGACAAAGGTTATTAAGTAACAGCCTGCAACTTGACAAAAGATGAAGTTTAAAATTTAGGAGCAAAAAAACAATGTCAAAAGCATCTGGTGAACCACAACACAGGTATTACTGAACATGTCCTGGTTTCTAAAGGCATGGTCTGATCTCTGACAGTATTTATGCAGTTGCTGTTATTTATGCTTGGTTTGGATGTGCCTGGAGGCCTTGGCTATGATCTGGGCTGTCCCAGGCTGTGCTCTGCACATGCACAATCCCTGAAAGAACCACAGGCCACAGGATTTCAATAGAAACAACTTCTCCCTCTCCTAGTTTTCATTGAATTTCCTGGGAATGCTGCTCTCCTCTTGGCTGTCGTGGCACCTGCAGCTTCTCCTGTCCAGGTACGCACCAAAAACTGGCCAAGAGCCTCAATAAGGCTTAAACTTGCTTCAAATATTGCTCTCTGACAGCACTGGGAACTCTGATCCATCTGATAACATCTTCTGTGCATCCTCATCCTATGTGTGTTTCAAGAAATATGAACAAAGACATAATGATGGGGGGAAAAAGCAAGCAGCAAAGAGTTCTGTTATTACCACCTAGTTTGGATCTTCTCCACTTCTGCCTTTCCATGGTGGTTCCACCAGCATTTAGGCACATATTTAACTAACCTCATATGATTAATTATACTGAATTCAGTATTTCTTTCTGCATGTTTTCCTGCTCAATAATGCACTTGTCCCAGTTGTACCTGTGCTGAGTGGCCCCAGAGGGCAGAGGCTGCAGAGGTGCTCACCAAGCAGAGCTGTCAGTGTTTCACAGGGGTTCAGAATTAAGCCATTTGAAACGTTACAAGTGAGGTACAAGCAGCAGCACAGCATCACAGAATGGTTTGGGTTGGAAGGAACACTGAAGTTCCAATCTCCTGAAATGGACAAGGACACATTCCACTACGCCAGGTTGCTCCAAGCCCCATCCAGCACTTGCCAGGTGAAACAGATCTGGATTTTCCACAGTGGGTGAATGAAACATCACAGAGAGCCAAAAGGCTCTTCCAGAAATTCACAACCACACAATCAATACCTGTCTTTAAACAAAGCTGTCCCTGTGGCCACTGCTCTCCCCTGGCCCCATCCTGCTCCTCTGGTCAAGCAGGGCTGATATGGACACACTAGCAAGCAAACCTAATTAATTAAAGATAGTTAAGTTAAAGTTACTTAGCTATTGTTACCTGGACAGGATCACCCAGATAAAAGAGAAGAAGTTCCCTACCTGTGGGCACTGGGAGTAACTCACCAAGACCACACTTTGCTTTTGAGTCACTTCCAAACTGGACAATCATTAACCCCAGCAGAGAAACTCTCCACTGCAAGGTTGCAACTTCCAGCTAATTTGACAGCAGAGTTAATCCATTTACAGACACACCAGCGTGGGCAATATCTGAAAAACCATTACCACGGGACAGTGGTGGACCTCCTACAACAGTGCCATCTCCTGCCACACAAAACAGGGGACACCAGCAAACACAGAACCACGGGGGACAGTGCCAGATCTGCACACTGCCAGCTCCTGCCACACGTGTGGTGACACCAGTACACACAGAACCACGGGGGCAGTGCCAGATCTGCACACTGCCAGCTCCTGCCACACGTGTGGTGACACCAGCACACACAGAACCACGGGGGACAGTGCCAGATCTGCACACTGCCAGCTCCTGCCACACGTACAGTGACACCAGCACACACAGAACCACGGGGGACAGTGCCAGATCTGCATACTGCCAGCTCCTGCACACATGTGCAGTGACACCAGCACACACAGAACCACAAGGGATAAGTGGTGGATCTCCTGCACACTGCCAGCTCCTGCCACACATGCGGTGACACCAGCACACACAGGAGGTTGTCGGGCTCTCCTCCCCATCAGCCCAGGCTGTGCGG